GCAGCCTAGGAACTTAATGTCGCTGCCGCAGACCATCATCGAAGTGCTGAGAGTGGAAGAGATATAGTGGCATATCAATGAGCCTAGAAGGCATCCTCCAAGCGCAAGTGTGCTCAGTTTTAGAACAAATGAGAGGGGAAGGAATAGTTTCACACTAGCTCACAGCGCATGCAGGACGTACTGTTTCCTTGAGCCCCGCCCGCTTCGGGCAGGTCTTTTTGTACGAGACAAATAGAGACCATTGACAGCGGTTATGGGACTCGGAAGGGGACATTTTGCCCAGCGCATCGTGTAATCTGCCATCAACAGAAAAGATTCACGGTGGGTTATCATCACAAAGCCGCACCTAAGGGAAGACATTCAAGCCTTCAGGCCATTGGCCCTCAGGCCTCAGGGGGGAAGACGTGCACTCAGACCTAAGTACTCGTCAGTACGACTCATGGGCCCTATGACGAAGTGAGCTCATTGGTTCGAGAATACACTTGTCTGGCCAGACAGAGATCTTCCTGGCAAGCCTGATATACAGATTGTATCCTCGACACTAATAGGGAGGCAGACCTCGAATCTTTCGGTGCTTGAACAACTCATCAAGTGCTAAGGGCGGGAGTGGAATAGCAGGCCAAGCGCCAAAGGACCCTTGGCCAGGCCGCACTCGTTGTCTGGACAGTCAACCAATCTGCGGGAGCATGCTAGCCTGTCCGGATGACTGAACAGCCTCTTCAACACTTCACAGGTGCTCTATCGGCAGGTCCCGTCCGTCCACTTGCCAAGTCTTTGCAGGTGCTTTCAGGGTCCTCTGCTCGGACAGCTTCTGACAAACTTGCACGAGGGAATCAGCGAGGACGACATGGTGCATTACACGTTCGTGGGGAGTGCGAACGCGTAGAAGATAGATAGATACAGGCACCACACTGCATACTCAATGAGTGTAAGAAACCGGAGGCGAAAGGTCCTCCGCGCGCTCGATACACAGACGAACCGCGCATGAAAAGGCTCGCTCTCGACATATGCATCGCGGACGCAAGCCGGAGGGCATAGACATAGTGCAGCTTCATAGATAGTCAGGCTAACGCGGGCGAGATACTCGAACAGCAGCTTGCAGAAGGCTGCAGTGCGCGCGGGGCAGTGGAAAGCCAGGCAGCTTCGGTCGCCTCACCCTCCGAGACAAACATGGCCGAAGGGTGGACAGTCCAACTATTTGCATAAACCACAAGGCTGGCCTTGGTTGAAAGACCCAATGAGAGAGCGACGCGTTGCAAAGTCGGGATAGTTCGGTGTCGGCAGAGACAAGAGGATGGCCTTCAGACTTTCGTCGTGTGACCGACGAAGCGAGGCTGGGAACGGAGTGTCCACAGGTGCAGCTTCAGAAGTAAAAGTAGATGAGGCCAGGGGTAGAAGTGCCATTCGAGAAGGAGATTATCAGCTGGGCCTTGGAGGCGAGCTGTCGGTTGACGGAGAGAAGAGAGGCCGCTGGTGACCGTCGAGACGTGTTGCGCGTCCGATGAGACAAGAGTCGGTCGCGTCTCGGGCGGCCGAAGCACACGCGACCGCTTGCCACTTTCCGTTCCAGCTCTCGTCCTCATCGCTTCAAATACTTCCTGCCGGTGCCTCCCATGGTTCATCCCGTCGTTTCGCTGTACCCGCAGGGCAGGCATGCTCCGTCTCTCAAAGATCTCGAAGCGCGTCCCAGCACGCGTCCTGTTACGACGCACGTATGCATCACAGGCCAAGCTCACCCGGTCCTACGTCGAGGGTCCGACAGACCCACCCCTCTGCCACCTCACCCTGCCCGCCTACTTTGCCCAGAAGATCCTCCCGCTCCATGCTGACCGCCCTGCGCTCATATGTCGCGCCGAAGAGCCCAACACCTTTGGCGGTAGCCCCCAGAAGAGCAACAAAGCGTATCTCGACTGGACCTTCAGGGAATTCGACGACCATATAGCGGCCGTCGCACGCGGCCTGCTGGCCATGGGTGTGAACAAGGGCGACCGAGTAGGTGTCATCATGGGCAACAACAGGTGCGCACGTCACTCTTCCTGTCAAATACTAGCCAGATGTCGACTCCTACAGTACCTATGCGATGCTCCAGTGGGCCTGTGCTCGTATCGGCGCCATCCTCGTCACTCTTAACCCAGCCTATCGCACCCACGAGCTCATCGCCACCCTCGGCCTCGTAGGCGTTAAACATCTCTTCCTGGTCCCCCGCATACGCTCCAGCGCGTACCTCCAGAACCTCGCCGACGCCTTCCCATCCCTCGCGTCCTCGTCACCCGGGAACGTGAACATCGAACGCCTGCCGGATCTCAAGAACATCGTCGTCCTGGACGACCTCGGTGGGGCTGAGGGAGCCGCAGAGATGGCGCGTGCCAAGAGTGCCGTCGACTTTCGCGAGATCCTCGTCCGGTGGCATGCTGGCCCCGAACAGCGCGAACTGGAGGCACTCGAGCGCGGGCTGCAAGAGCACGAGACTATAAATTTGCAATTTACAAGGTGCGTGATCTACTTTGCGAGCGTGACGCCGTCCAAGAAGCTTGCTGCATGCTGTTGGGTGGTCTCTTGAAACGCGGCGGGGCGCGCAAGCTGCCGGGGTGCAAAGTGCCCGCCGTCGTTTGACCAGCAGCTCGGAGAGTTCAGATGCTGCACAACTCGCCACAGAACGCTTTCGCAATCTGACAGCTCCGCTCACTGATCCATGCTTCCAGCGGCACCACTGGCGCGCCAAAAGCCGTCTCCGTACGCCCTCGCCCACGTCTGCGTACCGCTCAGCTGCGCTAACGCCCCCGTCCCAGCTCACGCACCACAACCTGCTCAACAACGGCATCCAGATCGGGCGCTGCATGCACCTCACGCCGTCCGACGTCCTCTGTACGCGCCTCGCCCCACCTCCGCTCCCTCGCACACCTACACTGACGCCCCCTGCCCTCCTCTCGCCAGGCAACGTCCCGCCGCTTTTCCACTGCTTCGGGCTCGTGCTCGGCAACCTCGCGGCGTGGACGCACAGCGCCCGCGTCGTGTACCCCTCGCCCGTGTTCAACGCGCGCGCGGTCGTCGACGCGCTCCTCGCGGAGCGCCCGAGCGCGCTGCACGGCGTGCCGACGCACTTTCTCGGCGTCCTCGCCGAGGTCGCGGCGCGCGAACGCGGGCTCGGCGCGCCGCTCGTGTTCGACCGGCTCAGGTGCGTGCGCCCGTTTGGCGTGGTGTGTTTCTCTCTGTGTGTGGGGGACGGGGGCGGGCTGACGGGGAACGCCAGGACGGGCATCGCGGCCGGCAGCTCGATCCCGACGCCGCTCATGCGGACGCTCGTCGAGAAGCTGAACTTGACGGAGCTGACGATCGCGTATGGCATGAGTGGGTCTTCCTCTCCCTTCATTCTTGTCCCGCGTCGCTGATTGCGGATGGTCATAGCTGAGACGAGGCCAGTGCGCGTTGCGCGAGTGCGGAGGCGCGGAGGCTGATCCGGGACGCACCCAGCCCGGTGTCCTTCCAGACCGTGCCGAGCGACCCGCTCGTCATGCGCGTCGAGAGCGTGGGGCGCGTGCATCCGCACGTGAAGGCGAAAATTATTGCGACGGACAGGTACGTCGCGCTGTTCGGGACCTGTGCTTTCCTATCACCCGCTGACGCGCGTGTCGGCAGAAAACATGTCGTTGAGGGTGCGCACGAGGACGAACATGACGACGTCGTGCCCATTGAAACGCCTGGCGAGCTGCTTGTCTCGGGATATCTTCTCCAGGCTGGGTACGTCCGTCTCTCCCGTCTTATATTTTATTAGCTCAATCTTATGATTATTATTTTACTTGTCACTTTGCTTGATCGCCGTTCCTCTCCCTCTCATCTACCTGCTTTCAATACCGGATGCAAAATATCGACGGATGACTGATTACGCCGGCGAACAGCTACTGGCAGAACCCCGAGCAGACCGCGCAGGTGATGCGCCGCGACACGAACGGCACGCTCTGGATGCACACCGGCGACGAGGGCGTCATGGATGGGGACGGCTACCTCCGGAGTGCGTGCCTTCTTCGCTTGCATCTTCCCGCTCGCTGATCCCCCACACCTCTTCTGGCCCCACCAGTCGTCGGACGCATCGAAGACATCATCATCCGCGGCGGCGAGAACCTCTTTCCGGTCGCGATCGAGAACGTGCTCACGGCGCACGCCGGCATCCGCGAGGCCGCCGTCGTCGCCGTGCCCCACGCGCGCCTCGGCGAGGTCGTCGGCGCGTGGGTCCTCCGCGAGCCCGGTGCGCCCGCGGGCGCGGCGCTCTGCGCGGCGGACGTGAGGCAGGTCATCGCGCAGGGGATGAACCCGCAGGTGCGTCGCGTTGCCTATGCGCTCCCTGACTATCGTGTTGCTTCGCTAACAAAGTAAGGACAGAACGCGCCGGCGTACGTGTGGTTCGTCGGCGAGCTCCCCGAGGAGGTGCGCCCGCGCGGGGAGGAGAAGGAAAAGAGCGATGTTGGGGACGTGCGCAAGTTTATGGGGTTGCCGAAGACGGCGAGCGGGAAGGTGATGAAGCATGTTTTGAGGACTTGGGCGCGTGAGCTGGCGGAGAAGGGTCTCGGGAAGGTGGGCGCGTAGCGGACGTCTGCGTTCTCGAGCGGAGGCGAGAGCGCGTTGTATTTTAGTATGTGTCACCTCTGTGGAATTGCTGAGAGGCCCTGACGTAGTAATAGGAATATCTGAAAACCATCTTGTAGCATGTGTTTGGATATATTCTCGCTGCGTTGCGCACATGACATCTACACGTACAGACGTCGGAATGAGCTATAGTCCTTGAACTATTTGTCTCGCGTTGAGTTGACGACACGAACGGCGGCAGCACACAGAATCCTCAAAAGTTCAGGGTATTATTCCGAGTGTAACTACGCACATCCATTAGACTGGATGGTGATGCAGCCGTAGTTGCGGATTGTCGATGAAATGTGTCTTGAGCATCGTCAAGCATAGGAGCAAGGGAAGCAGCGTGATCGTTCGCTTTGTGCGCCTTCTCAGATCTACCAATCCACGCACTCCCACGGTAACGTTCGTCTCTCACGTTTTTGTGATGCAGACCTTTTCCATATGTCTACGTCTAAGAATCTTATCGAGGTAGTGGAACTGAAGACACGGGCTGGTTGGCAGCTAATACGGAACAATAGCGATTTTGGTACATTGTTCGTGTTCGACCTTGTTCAGTCCCACGTTGGCTTCGCAACGCGACGCTTCTTAGGCCACTGTAGGTGCGCTCTGCGTTTGGAAAAAGTGAATCTCGTTCTCCGAGGCCTGATTTGTTGTTGGAAGCTAAGATGGGCAAAACGCTCGTCTTCCTCTGCTAACTCTCGGCTTCAACTGGGGTATCTTACTACCAATTCGTGATCTGAACGTCACGAGTCTCACGAGCCAATTATACTCTGGGTATCTTCCTTCGGTGTCGTTACGCTCTCTATCTGCCGTGCCATCTCGTGAGAACGTTCTCATGGTATTGTACTCGCGGCCTTTCAAACGCCGTTGAATCTGCTGAGCAGAGCCGTGAGTGAACGTAACTTGAGCTTGTATCGTCAAATGCTTGAGCCTTATGAAGCTCGTTAGCACTAAAAGATGAATTTAAATCACGCAAAGGTTACTGTCGGTGGTCAGGAGAAGTTTAGCCGGCGAAATCTCGCGGGTCACGTGGTCGTGCTAATCTGAGATTACCACGGCAGAAGGGGCGGCATACGCCGGTATGAGCGCTTCCTTCAGGCGTCTAGAAAGTTCAGCGTTGAATAAGGTAACTGGTCACTGCAGCGCACTGTCGCTGTAGGCAACCAGCTTTTGTACTGCCGACGGCAGAGCGTGCACGAGGACGGCCAATCATCTTATCAGGCAGGCTTTTGTACTCACGTGCCTGTCGTACCGCCCCTTGCACCGCCCTGTCAAGGACTATAGAACACGGAGCTCGTGCGTGCCCTTGACCCCCACACCTTGCCATGGAGCCTCACCTTCCCGCAGAGATTTCTACCGAACCCGGTCCAGGAAACTTGGACGCAGAAGTCGACGACGACGACGACGACGAGCTTGTTTTCGCTCTGCCTTCATTCTCCGACCTCAACAAGCTGCTTGAATCAGATCCAGCCCTTCGCGGTCAGATTGAAGCCTTGGAACGCGACAAATTCATTTACTTTCGTACCTACAACGGCGTTATCTACGACGACGAAGGAAAAGTCGACCAGTGCTCCCAGAACACGGAGAGAAACCGCGGCCCTCCTCGTCCGCTCATCTTACCAAACAAGAGCCCGTTCAAGGGAAAGGCCTACGAAGAACATATTAACAAGATTATGGATTCGCAGTACGTCCTGGTGACGATGAAGCAATTCCGAAGGAAATTCGTCCCCGGCTCTTGCCTCACTGCAGCGCAGAGGGAGCGAATCGTCAGCATTGAGCCACTCCGCGGCATCGTCTCGCGAACTGTCGCTACCCGCGAGAAGAACAAGACCTCCGGCGAGGCTGCGGTAGCCACTACGGCTAGGGCGGCAGATCGAGGAACACCGTTGGATGGAGCGCCCATTGCTGGACCATCTCGTATGGGTGGAGAGGGTGCCGAGGAGGATGCTGGTGCCGCGGCCCCCGCAGACACACGCGATTTCTCGCTCGAGGAGAACGACGACTCCATCGGCGACGTAGGGGACACGTTGGAGGAAGACTCCGGCAGCGGCGGCGGTGTGCCAAAGGGCAAAACGCCGGCGGTTACTGGCGGCCCCAAACCCAAGCCTGGACGGAGACTTGAGAGCTCGATGTATCCCATTATCGTGCGTCCTACCTTCGCTCGTAGTAAGCTATCTTCTCTGACTTTTTGCGGAATAGCACAAAAGTTTCAACTCTGTCCTCAGTATGACCAGCTCGAAGGCAAGGTTTAAGATTACCGCCAACCATGTTGAGAACGGCGCTTTTGACAGCAAGCCCGATTTCGCGCTGTACGCCGGCGATGACGATCCAGAGGCTCAGAAAGCCTATGGGCTATCGCCGAGTGACCTAAAGAAGCACCCCGACGCTGCTCGCTGTGCGTGGGCCTACATCATTGCGCCTCTCGAAGTCAAAACGGACGACACTGAGGCAGGCTTCTTCTTCAAGCCTCCCGACCAACCTCGGGCGAACAAAAGACAGAAGGCAAAGAATGCTCGAGGCGCGGGGGAGTTGCATGAAGAGCCTCAGGTGAAAGCTGGTTCCGGGAAAGGGAAAGGTGGACAGACGACGTCTCAGGCTGTGGCGACCAATCCTCAGAAGGCCAAGGTAGTCGCCGGTGTACGACAACCAAGCAAGCCCCGAACACGGGCTGCTACCAGAAACGATGATGAAAGCGCCGCTCCTGCAGCTGCGCCTGCCGAAGAGGCTGTAGAGATGGCGCCCCCCGCCGCGGTGCAGGAAGAGAAGATCATACCCCGCTCGGCGGCCGAGAGCTTGCATAAATCGGACAATGGGAACAAAGCACGAGCACAGCACGCCAAGTATGCGGCGCAAATCATGCTACGCCAGCACCGGCTGCACGTCATAAGTTTCTACATCTCGGGCGAGTGGATTCGCGCGTTTCGCTGGGATCAGGCTGGTTGTGTTATGACCGACGCCGTCAACCTCGTCGACAACCCCGACGACTTCTACGATCTTCTCTACTGCCTCGGAAACCTCCCAGACAGATTGTCGGGCTACGACGAGACGGTTACCAGAGCATCTGAGAACGACATTCGGCTGCTCAGAGATTATACCTCTGAGAACGACGACCTCCAGAGGGCCCGTAGCGATATGCTAGAAAATACGCGGTTCCATCCCATTTACAAGGTGCGTTCCGGTGTGCAGCGCAGGATGAAACTAATAACGCTGTGGTCAGGTTACATGTCCTGCAGTTCGTCGTCCAAAGCCGAAAGAGCGCGATAAGAATCCTGAGGGGAACGAGGAAACCGAAGACGGAGACGGAGATAGCAGTCGTGGTGCTGGTCGCAGCGACAACACAGAACCGAAGGAGGACGAGGCAGGGCCTTCCGAGAGGGCCTTCCTCATTGGCAAGCTCACCGCTGGGCACGGCGCGCCGATAGGTCGTTGCACGCGTGGCTATATCGCATTTGATCTCTGGCGCAAGGACTTCTGCTTCCTCAAGGATCAGTGGCGCTCGAGCGTCCGGCGCAGCGAGCTCGATGTCTATATCCGTCTACACGAGAACGGCGTGCGCTGCATAGCAACGCCGATCGCTGGCGGCGACGTCTGTGGCATGCTGCGGAGTCCCCAGTACACGAAGGCACAGAGGTACCTAGCGCCGCCGTCGAAGCAGCCGGCGCTCATGCGCATCCACACACGTCTCGTCGTCAAGGAGGTCGGGAAGCCCCTCGAGGCGTACGTAGACACCGTTCAACTTTTTGAGGCGTGCACATATGCAGTGATCGGTGTGTATGTCTATAGTGCGTTGAGAATCTGCGGCTGACGCATGATCTTAGGTCATATGGAGGCTTGGGATAAGGCAGGCATTCTCCATCGGGATATCAGTGCGAACAACATTATGATAAATGTTCGCGAAAATGAGGCCTTCTTAAACGACTGGGATTTGTGCAAGTACAAAGAAGACTTTGGGAATCGGGCTCGAGAGAAGGCTGGCTTCTCGGTAAGTACCAGACGATGCCTTCACGCACGAGTCGACTTGCTGACTGCCTGCTCCTCATGGTAGGGCACCTGGGCTTATTTGTCTGCTCTTACTTTGACGCATCCCACTAAGCCGCCAGAGGTCGCAGACGATCTAGAGTCTTTCATCTACGTCATCCTCATGATGGCCTACCGTTTTCACCAGCACACCTACTCGACGAATCTCAATGACCTGGAATGCACGCCAAAGAACATCAAGTGCGCCAACTACGAGAACAAGCCGCTTGCCTTGCAAATCAACAAGTTCTTCTACGAGCAGCTGCGCTGTACCGACGGCCGCTACATCGGCGGCAAGGAAAAGCTAGTGTTCATCGAGAACGGCAAACCGCCAATCTGTTTACTGAACGAGGACTCAGTTCTGGCACGGTTCCTCCGCGACGCGTATGTGCTCTTGCGGGAGCACTACAGCGCGGTCGATTTTGAGGCGCTCAAGCCGCACTTCGTGGGCGCGCCGTTCAGTCCGAAGGAGATGCGGCAGTTTAGGCCCCGTGCGACGTCATCCATCGTGCACAAACTTGCTGTGAACCTTCGGCCGCAAGCGGTACAGCCGCGCAAGCAGAAGCAGGCGGAGAAGGTGACGGAGTCGAAGCGTGTGCTAGACACTCATGATGAACTCCTGGCACTGTTGGACCAGGCGGCCACCGAAGCTGGCGATAATGTTCACGCATACGGCAAGGACGACTATCTCTTTGACCAATTCCTTGGACTCGGTGATGTTGTCGTGCAGGGAACGGCAGATACCGGGCAGCAGAAGACGATGTCGAGTTCGTTAAAGCGACCGAATACGTCTTCGTAAGCCTCAACATGCGATCCGTCCTGCCATGCCTTTGGCTGGATAACCTGTGTTATGGGCTTATTCCTGTCGAAGTTGAACCGCCTGACAGAGCGTATGATCAATGTATATTACAATGATAGTGGTCCAAGCAAACGAGCCCCACGACCCGCATACAAACAGTCTCACCAGACGGAGCGAACTACAAGAGTACATAAAAACGCCGCCTAGCCGAACATGCCCTCATTATCCCGAGACCGCGCTCGATGAGCAGTACGGCAAGCCGTCGAGCTTGTTGTATCGCACGATGCGGAGCCGCCGCGCGGGCGAAACCTTCTTGTCTCGCAGGCCGTGCTGTTTGCCGCCATGCAAGACCCCGATGCACTTCATTGACAGCAACTATGACTTCGATATCAGCAAAATCGCGCGGGGGATAGATGAGAGCCATGCCCACATCGTGTGCCACCTTCGAGTGGCCGAAGGCCCTGCCTAAGAATGCCGTTGTCGGGTCCTTGCTGATGTACTTCACCAGCAGGTGGCGCACGCCCGAGGCCGACGATGTCGTAGACGAAGCTGGCAATGACGACGAGCGCATTGTATGCGCGTTAGTAAACGTCACTGGGTAGTGCAAAACATCATGGTTCAACGCACAGCTCTCCCAGTTGATCAGCAGCAGCCCCTGCACGTTCGGCGCCCATACGAAGTCATCTTGTGTCGCTCGTAGTCACTTTAGCTGCATTGGCAGCTAGCCCTTCTTGAATCCGCTCTCAGGAGAGATCTTCAGGCGGCTCGCGAGCCCAAGCTCCACGCACACCCAGACGAACCACTTCGCTGGGTTGTACCTGTACCGTCTGATCGCGTTCCGTAGTCTATCGGGAACTGGTGGTGAAAGTTGTCGTAGCCTTCACCAACGGTGACGAGTGCGGTGATGAAAATAGACTAGGTAGGGGGTAAACATATGCATATATGCGTGTAAAGGCAGAGTCGCGTACGAGGTGAACGAAGCACAAGCGAGTAGTACCCGCGAACCAGAATCTGCTCGTCTAGCCGCCCCAGCCAAACCCGACAACCATGGTAGGCAAAACCGAACCGCAGCCGAGGAGCAACCAGACGTACCGCGGGTGTTGCCGCTGAATGATAGGGTCATTGCTCAGGTTACTGACTTTAGCCACATAGAGCTGATATTGTGGCTTGACAATCGTCCAGCCAAGGTGCTAGAGGCCCTTGTGCGCATTGTGAATGCCAATTATAACCTTGAGGACGAGCTGGATGGTGTTCGCCGCGGAAGCGACAGCCTGTCGTCAGCCGAGCGAACATACCCAGAGTGTCAGTATTAATATTAACTATGAATTAGCAATAGAACTTACACATTGTACCCACAGATCCTTTGAGTATCCTGCGAACCCCACTTGACTCTGCGTACAGGCCTGACGACACCCTCCGCAAGGTCATCGCGACCTATGTCCGAGGTCGTAGTGGCATGCAGTCTATCAAATTAGTTCAGCGAAACCTACCTCAGACGATGAATTCATGGGGGGGGGGGGGGTGTGCGTATCAGTGGAGGAGGAGACTCGATCAGATGTGTATATCCAGGGAAGCGGCGGGTGAACAAGAGAAATGCCTCCTACGTACGGGTGAGTACACTTGATTTGATGCACACAGCTGATTACTGAAAGCTATGCAAGTATGAGCATGTTCAAGGGCCAGACAATCAACGTACAGTACGGTACGGTCGACTCGAACACATTCTCGAGTGCAATCTTCCCAATAACCGAGCCGTTTGGGGTACCACATCAGGGGCACGTTTACTGCTAGCTATTATTACTCCCTGCCTTACCAGAAAGCAAGACGCTGCGGAATCCGTCGTGTTCTACACGCAAGAACATCGATCTCTGGTGGCGGTTGACTTGGATGCGGTGGAAAGCCTGATCGGTCGGGTGATGAGCCGGGGGCGGTGGGGAATCGTTGATCAGAGTACTACAGCTGCACGGACAGTATTTGTAGAAGAAAGTGAAGATCAGGACGAGTAGATAGTAGGCAAGAAGCTACACGTACCCGTGTTGAGAGTCCGGTCCTTGTGCACTTCTGAGCGCGAGAACAACAAAATGAGTTGGCCACTTTTCTCTCCCTTAACGAGACCCGAACTCAGGGCCTGCAGGCGCGTTGTACACAGTATTCGCTAACCCACTAAGCCATAAGACCATATCCTTTCACATGCACCCGGTATTCTCAGCCAGGACTTGAAGCCGGAAGCGCCAGATCACCGTACAACGGCGGGCGAGCGTCGCTTGAAAGTGATAACATAGGGGATCGGATTGATATAAGGAATGAAGCTATATGATCCACTTGTCTTAGTCTATTACGCCCCGGTAGCAGTGGGCGAAATACTCTATGGCCTTCCGAGGCACCAGGCCACAGCCTCAGACATGATAGGCGCTTGCGGAGTTGTAACGCAGGCCTGGCTGCTTCGCCAACCGTGACAGGCCTTGCAAACAAACATAATGGAAATCACACTCAGATTCAATGGAAATTCCATGCAGTGGATATCCCACTAGATAACTTAGTGGGTATTCCATTTTTTCGGAAATCCCACTGATTTTACAATGGATATTCTGCTGCCGAAAAATCCATTTTTTGGTAATGGGTCATATCGCAGTGGGTGTCCCACTGATTGTTAGCGGATCAGTGGGATTACCATTTTAGAAAAATGGGTTCACTTCCCGCAGTGTACTGCTACGCACTCTCTCCTCCTATGATTTGCTATTCTCGTCCATTTACTATGGGAGCCAGCAGACTTCCACAGATGGTCGCGGAACGAGTGTTAGCACGCGCATAAGAAGCGATATTACTGTGTACGCCCCCTTTATAAGGAGCCAAAGCGTCAAATATCGATCGTTGTTCCCTTCAGAAGCGTCGAGGCAGTGGTGATGAGCGAACCGAGAGAGACAGGGCGGCACAAGCCGTCAAGGAGCTATGTGGATGCGCATGAGATTCATTGGGGTGAATGCTGTTCTTGTGTTTGTCGTGAGGCGACTAATCCTTCGGTAGTACTTCCCAACGCTTACTCCGGCCTCGCTGGGCTCCCTCAGCCGACTCCCGGCTGCGCTGAGCTCGTATCGGTCTTCGACGGCTGCAATTAGCATTGGGGCCTTATTTCCTTCATTCTATTCGCCATAATCTTCCGCCCTCAGTGATTCAGCCTCGACGTCCTAGGCACAGCGGCCTCTGCCCATTTTCACGATTGGCCTCGCTGTCTCATTCCCCATCTCTGTCGCCATATATCCTTTTCTCTCCGTCTTGACGACGCCGTTACGTCGTAAGTACGTGACCCTAAATCACCCCAGCTTTGCAAGCGAGTCTAGACGTTAGCCCTCGCGCGAAGCCCGGCTCTCTACGTCGATTCCTCGTCATAACGCAGCTGGGCGCGCCTCGGATGCCTCTCACCAGATATCTTGCCAGCTGCGTTGTCCCAGAGGGTCTATAAGATGCCAGTGTTGTTGCCGCATATGCTCCTACAACTGAGTGAGTCTGGCCATCATTCGATTTGTCTATCGCTCACGGCTCGTCGCAGTTGCGGATTCGCTTGACGCGCTGTTGGACATCCATGCTCAAGCCCTAATCTTGCTGACTACCCAACGGAGCACCATCGGTCTTCCTTTCGAACTCATTCCCTCGCTCGCCCATTCCCAAGCACGACGGCCCCCTCGAAATCAAACATTTCACTCCACCAGAACGTAAATCCCTGCTGTTCTCGAAGTACCTCGTCCAGCCATCTAGAGCAGACATGGCGCTGATCCGGAACAGCAGCAGCACCGGGAACACATTATCCACTCGCCATCCTGCGGCCCTTGGGCCCAGACAGGCGGCCGACGCTGCTGCGCTCGCAGAAGCAAAAGGAGCGCAGACCTATCCGTATTGGCGGTGCAAAGGCGTAGCGGTTCCATGGTATCCTCCGCAGGCTTCGGATTCAGATTCTACGACCTCTCGCAGCCGAACGTTGGTATCGCCGAGAAAGTCGCTAGCGAGGAGAAGCGGACGTGCAAGTGCTACGTCGAGCTGGTCGATGTCGAGGTCATACTCGAGCGAGCCGAGCGGATACTTGCACCTTGAGTTTCCCCGTCCTTATCCAAGCCCCCTGCATTCTATACTTGAGTCCAGGAGGAACGTGACCAGCCAGTGACCGCGATTTGCGACACGAAAGCGTCGCTGCCGCCGCCGCCGCCGCCCGACGTCATACATTCAAGATCGATGCTGGCCTCGGCTGTCTCGCCAATACGCTTCGACGTGCACTGCACGGCCTGCTGTACTCTCCAAGGGGTCCTTGCGAAGCCAAGGCGAAGCGGAGTGGAGTGTTTCGCGCCAGCCATCTGGGTCCCGGGCGGCGAGACCGAGTGCTGTTATCGATGTTGAAGAATGGATACTGCAAACAGCAAATGGTGCGTTACCAGGTGCGATTCATATCTCTCGCGTGTTCTGAGCGTGCAGCTGAATGCCAGAACGTGAAGGCAGCAATCGGTACCTATATGGCACCCCAAATTGCAACGTGCTTTGCGTCCAAGACATCCAAGACCTTCGATCAACTGATCACCTAGAACCTCAACGTATATGTGATGGATACGTGAGCTCTGGCTTGAATTTGGTGTCATCGTAGCTGACATCCGTCGATTACTTCAGACAGACATGAATTTTTAACGCAAAACTGCAAGCTCTCAGCTATCGTGCTCTTGCCTGGGAACAACGCCAAGTGCTTCCGCAAACGGGGCAGGCGACAAAATTCGCGTCTTCGGCTTCTCTCGCGGCGCATACACCGCGCGTGCGCTCGCCGGCATGATCCACACGGCCGGCCTGCTTCCGATGTACAGCCACCAGGAGATACCATTCGCGTACAGGATGTACACGCGCACGACGCCACTCGGCTGGGCACAGAGCACGCCGTTCAAGAAAGCCCTCTCGATGGACGTAGACATCGAGTTCATCGGTCTCTGGGACACAGTGTGTTCCGCTGGCCTGTTCTCGCGCCGGCTGCTGTTCATGGCGAGCGGCGCGGCCATGGAGACGTTCAGGCGCGCTGTCAGCCTTGGCGAGCGGCGCGCCAAGTGTAAGCTGGATTTGTTTAATTGACCGCGCGAGGTGGAAAGCGGCTCGGTACCCAGCCGGGTGACATGCCGAAGGCGGGCCAGAATGAGGACCAGGCCTTCTCGAGCGGTTTCAACGAAGTTCAGCCTGCGGTGGTGGCCGAGAAGAAGGACGATAAGAGGAGCTCAACCTTTTCAAAGTTCTACAACATCTTGAGACGACAACTCCGTCGACGATCGGCCACGGCAGAAGGAGATGGAACGCCAGTTCTTCGAGCAGGAGCGGCACGCGTTCGAGACGGGCGTCCTGGAAGTGTGGTTTGCGGGGTGACACTGCGGTACGTGCCGACCCCGTCGCATCGCAAATTCTCATGCTCACGCGTCTTTGCAGACGTCGGTGGTGGGTCCGTGTCGAGCAACACGCGGCATAGTCTAACGCGCATCCCGCGGCGGTGAATGGTGCACCAGTGCTTCCTCACCAACACCTGCATCCGACTGCACGCCGAGCTCCTGCGCGGCATCGGTCTCAACCCCGCATCGCTCTATCCCATCGTGCACGACCGCCCTGAACCTCTGCTACACACCGAGGCGCACCCGCGCCCGTGCCCAACGGCACCACCCCAGGCGCGCCTGAGCGAAGAAGAAGAGGACCTCGCAGACGCGCTAAGCCCGGTATACGACCAGCTTGCGCTCGCGCGCAGCTGGTGGGTGCTTGAGTTGCTGCTGATGCGGCACCGCGTCCAGTGCGCCGTGGACGGCCGTTGGGAGACGGAGCTGTACGCCAACATGGGCCGCGCGCGCGTCATCCCGAAGCAGGAGACGTACCCGGTGTACGTGCACCGGAGCGTGAAGATGCGGATGGAGGCGGAGAAGACGGCGGGGCAAGTGTATGAGCCGAGGGCGAGGTTCGATGTCGAGCCGACGTGGGTGGCATAGGGTCCTCGCGGGTGTGTATAGGAGTGTGAGGTCGAGTTTTCCTCGCGACGGGTTTCGGGATGATTTTGTCGCATTTCGCTGTTGTCGCTGCTCAAGAGTTTCTCTTTTACTGTATATTTTGAGGATAACGGACTTGTTTGTAGCATTACAGCCATGTACGGCACCTGTTCCTGGCATGCTCCTCACGAGCTATAAAATTATGCTGCCTCGCACATGTGCCCGAGGTATAATTGCTCGCTAGCAAAGCGGACATAGATGCTGCCCACTATTAGTGATGTGCGGGCCCGGCTTGGGCTCAAAGCCCGGGCTTGGGCTTGTGGCGACGTCGAGCCGACCCCTGAGCCCGAGCCGAGCCCGAGCCCGGCCCAAGCCTTGGGCTTAAGCCCGGGCTTGCTCACAATACAACGAGTGTTCTGGTGCTATCAAAGGGGGATGTATTTGGGTGTAGTAGATTAATACTGCATGTACTCACTAAATTATAACCTCCAGAAGAGCTACACCTGCGGAACAAGTCAAGTCGCAGCGAAGTCCACGAGCGTGCGCTTACAGCAGGCACCAGGCGGTGACGCACAATCGTGCTCGGCGAGAGCCGTTACGTCTAGGATATCTACATTTTGTCTTCTATGTACATATTAGGTCGCTCTCTCCTTATTCTGAACTCAGGGAACAGTAACGGAGCCAGCACACCCAAGCCTGGGCTTCCGGGCCGGGCTTGGGCTTGACCGCGCTCCGAGCCCGGCCTTGAGCCCGCTGCCAGGCTTGACTCGGGCCAGGCTTTTTGGGCCGGGCTTGGCGGGCTTGGAGGCTTTGAGGCCCGGCCCGCACATCACTACCCACTATCGTCCGCATTGCGCAAGACCCACTATTGGCGAAGTGCTTCGGAGAAGCCTCGACGGTGTTTTATCACCACCGGCCGCTCTATAGCTCGGTAGCACAAGACATTACTCGGATATGTCTGGGTCATGTCTGGATCGTCTCCGGAAGTCCATAGTGTTAATATTGATTCTACTAGGCCATACAAGCGCAAGGGGTGCATGAGAACGAAGGCAAGACAGCATATGAGCGACCGTGAAATTACGATAACGATGATCAAACAAGAATAGACAAGGATGCTGGACATATGATCAGCAAACGCCGGTCAATCCATCTCGCTCTTGGAGTCGGAATCGTGTGCCACGAGTAAGCGTCGCTTTTCTTCTCTCTCTTCTCTCTCCTTGACTCGTCGTCGTCTCTGCGCAGAAAGACTGCTCAGCTAGGTATCAAGTAACTCCGCTTTCCAGTACGTACCACTTCCTCTCGCCCTGCCTCCACATCCGCCTCGGTTAGATCAAACAGCGCAGGCTGCAAGTATCTCACGTCTGGCAGGTCACGGTCATGTTGAAGCGTGGCGGGCGGATGCGTGTGGTTGTTCATGGCCTCTGCGACCTTGTCAGAGAGAGCGCGGAAGTCCTCTTCTGAATACATCTCCCCGCAGAGGACTTGGAACTGTTGTAATTTTGGAAACGCGGGCGGAAGGGAAGCGAGCGCGGACCAATCGCGAGAGTGGAAATACTGGTGCAAATTCAAATACCTTTTATCTGAGTCAGCGAGAACGATTTGGCGGACAGACCAGGCCTCGTTGGCGCCGGCGGCAAGTGCAGACTTGACAACCCGGACTGAGATGTATGCGGAAGGTAGGGAACCAACAAATCTGTAAGTATCTTGGACCATCCGGTGAGTACAACAATCTGGTAGAGGGACCAGTCCAGCTCACCTGCCGTCGCCTCCTTGACATCAAAACCTACAGTCAGGAGCTCGCCGTCGTCCTTGAAGAACATCTGGATGAGGTCGATGATGGCCCATGTCTCTGCAGGGACTGCTGGCCCTACCGTCCGACGTCTGGTGAACGAGTGTCGTGTGCTCGCGGCCGCCAGGATCCATGCGGCCACTGCCACGTTGTTCGTGTAGTTCCACATGATGACTGAGCGGACATGGCTGAAGGCACCCGTGCAGACATTGCTCGCGGCGTCAGCTGTTGTGAGTCCGTCACCCGACCATGTGACCCCGCTGAGATCAACTTCTTCCAGGTAGGTGATGTCGGCTAGTATGCGGAGCAGGATTCGGAATGACGGGAAGTTGCAATACCGGAGTGTCAAGGAGGTGATGCTCCGCAACGAGCTCTTCAGACCTGCGCTGTGCGACAGCGACACGCGGACGGGCTTGCCACCGAAATCATGCCAGACGTCGTGGCACACGGGGAGGAGGCGGAGGAGAGCCGTCCAGAGTGGATAACCACGAGGGCCAATCCTGTCGAAATGCAGGACGGCGATGTGCTCCGCCAGCCAGGCCGACAGCGGGGACCGGACCATGCCGTATAGCGTGCGATCATCTCCCTCAGTTATCAGCGTAAGCCGGGCAAAGAGGCGAGGACGAAAGCGTCGGCACCAGGTATGCGAGACTAGGGACAGTGCTGAGAAGCCGGTTTTGCGGTCGGATCTCGGCAGGAGGCCGTAGATGTGGTCGCGCAGCTCAGTGGGAAGCCGCTCCCAATGGCGGGGAAACAATTCGCCGTCTGGAGCAGTGTGAGTGGATATCCGTGCAATATGTCAAGATAATAATTGTCTTAGACACACCTATCAGACGGGGAAGCAAACGCTAGCGAAGACCGTGGGTCAGTCTATGGCCTGCAAATTTTCCAAGTAAAGGACAAGTGTTTCATACCATGAATTTCTCCATCGACCGGGATAGATCTCGCATGAATGCGACGACTTTTCCAGCGTCATGGTCCTTCATGCTATCCATAATTCTCAACGACTCGCGCCGCGACTCGATCTCCACAGCCTCGTCGTTGATCACCTCCCACGATCTGTGCCATGTAGGCGTCCACAAGCAATACCACTAGCACTAGACTCACGAGAGCATTTCGTTGGCCGCCGTTTCCAGCTCAGGTGATATATTAGATCCTCTGAGTCCCATGTACTTGTTCACCGTCTTGGTTTACTCTTCGATGGCGTTAGTTAACTCGATTTTGACATTCGCGCGCGAGTTCTGGCTTGAACATGAGAATCAGCACTTATAATACGGTACAGAGCACACATCCGGATCATGCTCAACACCGCCGAGAGACCGCTGACATTGACCTGCAAGGCTGGCACATGGGGACTGCCGGTGACGCCGCTAACATTGAACACGTCAAGAGCCTGCTTGAGAGCGATGGCGATGTGTGTAGGACCCTTGGTGCCGCTGCTCCGTAGCCTCTTCCTGGGCGTGCTCATGGTCTGTATAGTTAACGGAGGTAGTGGTGGCGAAAAGCAAGGAACGGCGGCTTCAAGTAGTTTGATCTGGCTGGGAGGATGGACAAGGAACCACGCCTTTGCCACGCTCTTGCCGTGCTTTCGCTGGTAAGTTTATGTAAGCGAGGATATAGTACGAAGGTTGTGGACGAAACAGCTTTCAAGCTGTAGCAGCGGGGGGTCGTTCGAGCACACGCTGGTGGTGTGGTTCAAGGGACAATATCGCGATGGCGAGAAGGCTTATATTGGACAGGGCATGCGGTGCTTGCACCGCTTGGTGTATGTGTATTCAGAAGAACGAGCCCGAGGTCAGGCGGTGCTTGCACTGCATCGTGTTGAAGGCGTGGATTCAATTTCGAAAGAGCTGTTCTCCGTGGCCACGCCACCGGGGCCTGGTCCGTAATATTTTCCTAGTCTTTCACCTCGTTGCAGTTGGTCATCTTTGAATTTGCCATAAGAAATGCACCTTCCCTGCTTATGCGCGCCTCAGATGTCACAGACAAGCGCCAGTGCTTACCAGCAAACGCTTCGTCAGGCCCGGGACTCGTGCTCGACACCGTTCGACACCTTGCCCTGTTTTCGCAGCGATGTCACCGTAAGCCCCCTTCCGCGTGCGTCCGCATCCATCGTCACCGCTGACGCTCTTGTGCAGTTTGTGCTGCACCTCGCACACAACTCGTCGCTGACATTCGTGTTCGCACGGAATTGTCTCGCATTCGTCTCGCCGTCCGTAGTGCGTCGCGAGTCTTATCAGCAAGAATAACAAACGTACGTCCTCTCGTGTCCTGTTTAACTTGTGCCACGGCTCACAGAAAGAGTTCAGCAAATGGCGAATATGCTATAGAAGATAAACTAGTCAGGTGCAGCCGCGCAGGGTGGATAGGCCCACCGCCGTTGGACATGGCGAAGAGGGCACAGTGAAGCCGTGGTCACTTCGATGTTCCCGACTCGTCAAGTGCGTGTTCTTGCTCCCATTCGTTGCATTCTGCCTTCACCCGAGCGATCATCGTGGGCTCGGGCTTGTACACACAATAAGTGGAGGCTCCGCTCCCGAGTGCCGCTCTGACGTGCAGTTTGTGGCAGCCCTTAAGCGCGGCCGGCATATGCTGACATAACTCTCGATATTGATATTTAGCTGCGGACGCTTCATAGTGATGGTCGTCAGAGACAGCGTCGGCGGATTCCAGCCTGGCCTGCCGCGCGATAGACTAGCCGAGACTATGAGCCCCTTCGATGTGCATCCCCACACCCCTTGTGCTTGTGTCACGTTCACACGGAGTGCAGCCCATCAAATCGTCGAGCGGCCACTCAGAGACCGTCGGGTGCGGCGAGGGCAGCCGCATCTGTTGAGTTTGGTCCGCTGTACCGCGTACGCCGTCTAATTCTTCGATCTGGTGCGGCTGCGCGGTTATTGACGAGGTGCCCAGTGGCGTGCGGCGACGGCAAAAAAAGGACGTCAAACAGGCCGAGAACGTCTTTGCTCAAGTATTTATTTGGCGAAGATCCCCGGAGGCTGCAGTGAGCAACTTCGGGGCCACCATCAGACATTTGTGGTGCACTTTCGTCGATCCGAACCTGTGCATGCGGTCATTTGGCGGGTGCGTTCCCTCGTCTTCTCGCCAGCCCTCGATCTAACATCGTCGTTCAGCCTCAAGCATGCTGGCTCGTGCCGCTCGTTCGCGAACGATGACCTCGTGAACATCATCCAGAAGGCGACCGAGGTCATTGCAGTCGCACACCATGCACGGTGCTACCCCGCCATCTTCCGCGTCGTCGAGATCCTGGGCATGGCGCAGGGCCCGCAACGGGGCGCACGCTCGATGAACGAGTTCCGAACGCTCCACGGCTCGAAGTCGTTCGCGGACCTCGAGGACTGGAACCAGGACCCTAAGATCGCAGGCGTGGCGCGCCAAGTGCGTGGGAACATTAACAAGCTAGTGCTGTACCCTTGTCCAGGTCGAGGCGACGATGCCGCTCGCCCACGGCTCGAGCATCTGTTGCAGGTGCACGACGATGCGCGCGATCGTGGGAGGCGCGATCCATCACCGCTGTTACCTTCGAGTTACTCCCCGCGCTCAGCTCATGAATCTCACTCAATCTCACTTTCCCGACGCCCCACCACCATCTCTCCATGTGACGGCCCCCTGCGACTTTAGTGGGAGCTTTCTCCGCACTGCAAAGCTTGCGCATCTGAGAGCTTAGAGACGATGCGTGATTTCGATACACTAGTCCTCTCAGGTTCGTTTCTGTATACGCTCTATCGCTCTCTAGCGTGTTGGCTTATCCTCGTCGACAGCCTCCGCTGCAAGCGAGCTTCTTACCAACGGCCACGCCATTTCTTGTATTGTTTTTACAGCTTACATAGACAATTTACGCTCTTATTCTAGAAATCATCTCTAAGGAGATCCGCGCGCTATCACGACCGGAATCGAGCGAGTCGCTACAATCGAAGAGACATAGCTCGTGCGTCCTGGCAAGACGATGACTCTCGCAGCCAAGTCTATGAGAGCTACAAGAGTCCATTTGTCCTCTTGTAAGTGCCTGCCCGTTTATTGTCTCCAGGCGCAGCAGGTAAGATCCTACCAGCGTAGCGCGTTTGGCGAGAACAACGGGAGGCTGCGTATCCA